GGCAAAAAACCATCATGCTGTGCTGGTTTGTTGCCAATAAGCCAATCACAGCAGCGTAGATAGGGCTATCACATTGGTCTTGATAAGCCAGGTTCAAATTGGGAAGCCCAGCCCCAGCGTCTCTCGGTTAGTAGGATTGTGAGAGGAAAGAATTGGAGATGTACCAGGTGACATGATAGATGGTAGCTGCATTCTGCAGCAGGAGCCTGCAGCTCCACCTGAAACGGTGACAGAGGTGAAGAGGAGAAAGTAAAATTCATTGATCTGGAAACAGGCAGTTGTTCAGCTGTAGTCCTGACTCTGTGGTCTCAGACTGTTTCCATTGCTTTCGAACTCATGTTCCCTGTCTGCAGAGGAAATAAGAGTAATTCCACTACTTGACACACAACTGTGAGGCTATTTTAACGTTGAGAATGTTTGTTTTTCATGATGTAGAGTGGTATTTTATTACAAAGCAACTCTTGGGCTGCCCTGCCCTGTTAGAGTAGCAGGTTGCTTCAGTAGTAGCTGAACTGATCCCTGAACACAGCTGTCATTTAAAGTATTTTGAGGTCCTTCAGGAGCAACGGTGTGCTATAAATACAAATTATTGCGCCTTTTTTTTTTTTTTTTTTTTTTTTCCCCCATATAGGAGGCAGTTCTTTCATACTTTATTCTATTTCTTAAGGTAAACAAAGTACAAAGTGAGGAAGGCTTTCTCTCAAGATGAAAGTGTGTGCAGCGCTCTCCTTGGATTAGTTTATATCACTGAACTGTGTATAAAGTAGTTTTCCATCTTTACACATATCAGTTGTCAGAGATTAAAGACCTGCTACATTGCAGTGTGAGTTCTGTACTGCTTATTACTTAGCAATTCTCATCCCTCTTCCTTTTAATAACTAGTACTCTCAGAAGTGAATCCCACATACGTGGTTTATGGGCATTTTTTCTACTATTAGTTAATTTGCTACTTGTGTGTCTGTCTGCTGGTTCTGCTAGATGCTTTGATTTGACATTGGTTTACAATCAAGTTGTCCTTATTTCTTTAATTTCTGTATTGCAGGTCATAGTTTCTCTTAGACAGGGATATTAACAGACCATTTCCTTCGGAAACATGCGCTAGGTTCCTCTGAATGTGTCCTGTCTGCCATTCAGAAGTTTTCCAGCAGATGTGTTGAGAAGCATATCGTTCCAGACTTGCTCTCCATTTACAGGCATTTTGGACTTAATTTTCTTGAGCTTATTTTCTACCTCAGAAATATAAAGAACAACCCTGATGGCTGTAATCAAAGTCAGGTGGGTTACAGCTGGTAACGTAGGGAATGGGAGCGAGAGATAATGTAACCTCTTAATTATTACTGTGCCTCTAAAAAGCAAAGAAGCTGAAGATGAAACCGCAGGATGGTGAAAAAGGGAGAAGATTCATTGCATTCCTGAACAGATACATGTTTCCTTGTACCCTTTTGAATAATATAGGCTCTTTCCTATGGAGGTCCTTTACGTATCTGTCCATCTGACATGCTGAGCTTACATTGAAGCACATCATCTGCTATCTGTTGATCTTCCGTGCTCCTTTTTCTGCTCGCTGGGCCTGCAAGACTGTCATATAGCAGCTGCAAGGTAGATTGGTACTTGCTGGCTGATGCTGCGTGTTTAATCAGTTGAGGTTCAACCATAAGAGTATCAGACACCAGTAGTTTGGAAGATTTCATTACACAGTGCTCTGATCACAAGTGCTGGCAGCACTGCAAACCTTGATTGACTAGTTTTGTCCTGCTTCTGGTTCCTGAAGCCTGATTTCTATGATGTTCAACCAAGCTGTCTAGACGCATCTTGTCCCATTACAGTCTCATCCCAATAGTTTCCTTCCCTCAGCTTTTCTTTGCTGCTGCCTCATGAACAGCCGCCACTCCAGTGTCTTTTCTGGGGGTGTATAGCATAGCCCGCAGCCCTGCCGTGTCTCTTGAAGTCAGTTTGTGGTCCCAAGACCTGGGTCATGAAAAAGCCTGACTTCAGAGATTTCCAGCTAAAGTCAGAGGTATTAAAGCCATTTGGTGCTCTTTCAGACAAAGTCCGATGGAGCAAAATTTTGTCTCTCTGAATTAGAGTCCTCTTGTGCCTAGCAGATTTGTTAAAAGGTTCCTGAGATTTATTACAGATGAATGCCATGAAAGCTAAACAAATTTCAGGAGCAAATCTTGAGGATCAAATCTCAGTAGGCAGCTATTTGCCTAATGTCCTACTTTTTTCACATCTCCTGTGGGAAGCAAATAGCTTTTACTTACACGAATATCTGGTTATTCCCTTAAATGATAAAACATAAAATTGCTCCTTTTAGGGCTAATTTCTGCTTTCAGGGGCATGCACAGTGCTCTTTGAAGGTACTGGGGAACGCCAGCTGCAATTCTAAAGACAGGAACAGAGTCTGCTTTCCTTGGGGTATGTAGTAGAGCTTTTTCTATTCCAATCCTTCAGTTACTTTTGTGTTTCTAATTATTTATATAAGCATAATTGACTTGCAAGACTCTCTTGGCTTTCCCTATGCATTGAGTGAATTATTGACCCATCACGTGGATCAATGATGTGAAGAGACGTATGAACAAACCGGGTGCAAAATAGTTGCTTTGCATTCTTAATTGCAAATGTAAGCCATTAATAACTTCGCTCCTCAATGCTCTCAGCGCCTGCACAATTTTAGTTTGACATGCATATGGCTGAGTTCATCCTCAGTGTAATTTGAAATTCATTGGGCATGGACTTCATCTCCTTATGCTACTTTAAAATCTCTCCTGTGTTGAGATGTGATATGCTAATTCCAGCGTTTATGGCTGACTTGAGATGCTACGTTTGAAAAATCAAATCCAATTAAATCAACTTATTACCAAGGTCAGAGACCAGTGTTCAGCACATTCTATCCCTTGCTATTTCACAGCAAAGAGTAAACTTAGTGAGCATATTGTCTCTCAACCCATAAACAAACTAATCGGCCCTAATAAGAAGGCTTCTGGCTGCGGGACCTAGGGAGCATAGTCAAGTGATAAAGCAGTCGCTGGGGAGTTCAAATAGCTGAGCTCAGATCCTGGCTTTTCACATTTTTGTGTGTACTATGGGACAAATGTTCTCCCCTTTGTGTCTGTTCCCCCATCTACTCATGAGATGGAAGAAAAGCTAGGGTGTTGTGTGGATAAATTCAAGGATGGCAAAAAGCTTTGAGACCTCTTGAACCTGTTGCCATGGGCTGGCAACACCACATCAACTTGCTGTAGTCAGAATTTTAATGGAGGTCAGATTTTAGGAGAATATAAATGAGAGATGCTCAACTGCTATCTTGGCAGAAACTTGTTTGTTACTTAAGAAGAAAAGCTTCTGCGTGCATAATATCAATATTCTCAGCAAGGAATGAAACAGAGGGGAATATACTACAGCTGTTTGAGATGGACAGATATTAAGCCGATTTGCAGATACTTTTGCAAATGAAAGTCTTAAGTTTAGATTTATTATGAGTTCCCACACTGTGCAAGTCTTTGTATTTAAATTACACTATCACCAAGTGCCTGGTGGCTTTTCTGCCTTTTCCTGTTCAGCACCTAATGCATTTCCTGCAGGAGGTCCTTATGTTCCAGACAAAACCAGACAGAAAAGTGAGAAGAATGTTGAATTCTTAGATGCCCTTTACAAATAGCCTACTGTCTCATTTCCAGTGGGAAATATAGTTTAATGGACACGGCATCTTATACCTTTCCCATTTGTTTAGGAGCTTAAGTCTGGTTGGAATTTCTACAGTGTCAATTCATTCTGCCAACCTGAGGGAACTTACTTGAGGTGCTCAGTTTAGTAGCTTAGATGTCTCAGAGCTCCTCTCATTCATCGGAAATTGCCACCTCAAGGTGAATTGCTTCCATCCAAATACTCCTCTCGAACTTACCTGTATCTTCAACTACACTTCTAGATACCAAAATCACCTATTTTTAATTAAGTTTCTGCTTCTGTTAAGTACCTAATTTGGACCTGGGACAAAATTACTTCCAAAAGTGAAGCTCTTACATCAGAGCTTTTAAAAATCTTGTATCATTTGCTCTAGTTCATGCAGAATTCAATTATGTAGCAGACCTCGGGATGTCACTTGAGATTTCCAGAGTCCTAGTGAAGCGATGTAAACCCCGTGAAGGATTTACTCTGACCTCACTTTACCTCTCAAAATGTTAGAGAAGCCCAGGCAAACTAATTTAAGAGAGACACTAGAGTGTATATGAGGACTGGAGGAGCTGTTCATGGCAAACATTCACATACAGGGTGGTCATTCAGATTGCAGTAGCTGCATCCTATGATGATTCCAATTACCTATTCCATGGTTACTCTGCATCCCTTTCTCTCTGCAGCACAGAAGGGAGTTGAGAGAGTTTATTAAAGTATGAGCCAACTTAAATTACTTTGCATTTATCATGGACTGCTGCAGAGAAATCATGCTCACATGTCAAAACCCTGCATAGCGAAATCAAGAAAGAAGTAAAACCATCTTACCTCCGTGAGTGCTCAGAATGGAGTGTGCAAATTCACCAGCCACTCACAGCCTGAATGTAGTCTGAGCTACCTGTTCTGCAGAAAAGACTTGTGAAGATATTCAGGGGGCTCTAAGAAAAAACTGACTGCTGTTCTCCAGGAGGCAGGCTGAACTACCGTCCCGTTCACGTTCAAGAAAGAGAGCCTCAGGCTGTATAGAGGTAGTACATCTTTTGGTGGATTTTCCTGTCGAGGGTATAGACAACTGACACTTCTGTAGCTGCTTGGAAGGTAAATCTACATTCCGGTGTCAAACTCCCCTCATTCCCACTGCGGCCCAGCAGCTTAAGGATGCAGCTTACTTATCAAGCGTTAAGGTGAGTGGCTGAGTAGCTTTCAGGTGCAGGATGCTCTGAACTCCATGGCTGAAACCATGGCCACAGAGTCATGGTCATGGGCCATGGTCACCATGACCAAACCCTTCAAGAACCACCCAGTTACCCCCGAATGTCACTGCTTACCAGCTACAGGGGTGAGTCCACAGAACTTCTGCCGAGAAATGTGAATTCCCAGAGCTGCTCTGTTACATTTCTCCCGAAATGGTCAAGGACAAACAACAGGTCTGGATGGAGCTGGAAACCAGCAAGAAGCTCAGTGAAAGGAAACAAGGCATAAGAGCCTCTTTCCACCACCTGTCCCACCACCTCCCCCCCCCCATCTATTTACACCCAAATACAAATCCATGATTAAGACTTAGCGCCCTTTGCCCTCATCCTTGCCCACTCCACGCATTGCTCCTCCTGTGTTTCCAAGTCCTCACGCTCCCCCTGCAGCCTCTTGCTGTCTGCTTTTCAACCTGAGAGCCCAGCCCCGGAGTCCCACGCCTTCTGCTCATCCCTGTCAGGCGGACACCTCCTCACCCACGGCTTTGTGCTGCCTTGTTCAGCTCCCCTGTCCTCAAACGCAGCAAAGCCGGGTCAGGATGCAGCAGCCTGCACCGTGCTGGTACGCTCGACAGCAAATCATGTCTAATCAGATGTATCGGCGTGTGCCGAGGCTCTTACCCCACGGTACCTATAAGACTGTGCATAGAAGGAGAGTGTGCTTGCTGCTGCTGACACTGCCCAGCACGGGCCAACTATTCTGAAGTTTGTGTAACGCACGTACCACTGCTCAGAAACCTCGGGCGTGATTAGGTATTAGCCAAAAGGATCAGTCCCTGGGCAGTGTGAAAGCTGAGCTGGCCACTCACTGTAGTATGTACGCAGAGCGCCTGTTAAGCTGATGACCAAAACTCTTTTATACTACCCCTTACTGGGCGTTTTTAACAGAATTTAAGAAAACAGTGGCAGTTATTAAGGAAGCACCTATGGAAAAAAGGCTGTGGTATAGGAAATAGAGTCAATCAGTACAGAGGGGGCACCTGTTACTTCCTGATCATTCAAACCATTACTTTGTTATCATAGTTTGATTCTATAATGGAGATTTTCCCCTTCCTGTGCAGTGAAGTTGCATCATGCAGAAAATTGGTTTGTTTAAGTAAGAACTCTTATGGTGTCTTTCATCAAATGTTCTCAGAGAACATTACTAATAATTCATTAAAGGGGCACTGTCAGCTGGAACACTTTTAATTACCATTTTCTGACAAGTCAACCCTTAAGTGGTATGCCCTGATTCTTAAATTTATTACTAACACATACGCAGATTTTTCTTTTTTCCTGCTGATGTTTATATGGGTTGAGAAAAGTAATCGACTGTGAGATTAAGGAAGTGAACCATGCACGACATGTTGTCATGCCCAAAATTTAAGATAATTTAAGGGTGGTTACTTTTTTTAACAGTAGTTTTGAGAAGCTCATTACCGTAGCCTCTGAGCATCTCAGTGCATCGAGTGCTGTGTGCACATTACTGCTGTGAAACTGAAACGCGTTGAACTTAAGGTATAGCTGTGAAAATCGTTAGCTGCTGCTTGTTAACTGTCTGGGTACACATGCTTAGCCTCTAACTAACTATGAACTGAAGACAGACTGGCTGGTGCTAATACAGGGGTAAATCAACAGTACTGGCAGTTACCACACAACAGCTAGTAAGCTGTAAACTTGTATCAGCTTATCCCACCCTAGTTTTTTTGCACAGCCATACTTTAGGGCCCTTCCAGCCCCATGACACTGTCAGAAATATCACTCAGCATTCCCAGAGAAGAGTAATGCCTGAACTGCCATCTTCTGCCTTCTGTATCTGAGGTCACTACAGCAGATGCAGAGATTTTCTTTGACAATGTTTTCTTAAGCCTCAGTAGCCTGTTTTGCGGGAGAAGAAACTGAAGCAGAGAACGATCAAGAGGGTTGCCCAAGAAAAGTAAGTAAGCCAGCGAGTAAGCAGAGTAGAATCCAAATATCCAGTTCCACACAAAAGGAATTTCTGTTTCCCTTGCTGTAGTCATTAGGTGACGATTTTGTAAGCAAGGGAACAGAAGGGACAGTCTATCTGGAAATATTGTGGATTTTCTCAGTCGACTATTAAGAAAACAGTATGGCACCGAGCCTCTTACCTTGTGTCTTAAAAAGTAAAGGTGGCTGCAGAAGGGAGGTGGGAGAAAACTGCCTGGCTTCGTGTCCCCCAGACCAAGCAATCTCCACAGTACTGTGGTCCAGCAGCTTCTGTATCAAAGGAAGAGAGCCCAAGGCCCTCTTTGGCTTTTATGTGTGGCTGTGTCAGCTCAGACTGGTTGCCAGCTCATCTATATGCAATGGCTCATTAACATTGTGGCTCGGTTTATATATTGTATGGGAAAGGCAGAGGAATGGCTGCTGGATGGAAGTGAAACACAGTGGAAGTGTTGAGCTGCCAGAGTGAGGGAAGGTAGTGCAATATTGCCTACAGAAGCTGGCGTTACTCTTATCGTCCCCAACATCTGAGTCGCCTGTCCCATCCCACCAGTACAAGCACAACACAAGTGTCTTGGCTGCTTGTGAGGATCGGGCCTTTTCTCTGCATGGGCGGCGTGTTTTGGAAAGGACCAGATGCCCCTCGATACTCCCAGATTCTGCAGAACCCTCTGCAGTTTAATTTGGTCTGTGCTATTCTAGATTCGTGTGCCCTTGCCCAAATTCCTGCTTAGACTTTCCTTCCTAGATTGGAGCTGAAACTCAGAGTCCCTCTGAATTCTCTGCTGACTGCAGGAGTTCACTCCTTACCGTAAAGCTGCTGTTACTCTCCCTGCATTGCTGCCATCTTGGAGCTTAAGGAATCATGGATCTCTTGTATTTCTCAATCCTTTGGTAGAGTGCCTTTGCATGCTGTTGATAAGGGATTGAGTGATGTAAGCTTGGAATCATCTCACTTACTTATAGGCACACAAAAATTAGGTGTCTAATAGAGCAAATTCTTCTGGTTCTCTCTCGTGTTCAGAAGCTGTTTCTTCTCACTCTAGGACAAGTATCTTAGGCCTTGTAGAGGTGCCCATCCTTCTCCATCAGTAGAGAGAGGACGTAGATGGCTGGAGCAGTTTACACCCCTACCTTTTGGAGGCCTACTCTAAATAAATCACTTCAACCCTCAACATGAAAACCCCCAGACTCAAGCTGATCTACCCTAGGTTAAACCTCAATAACAACCCAGTGCTTCTAGCCACCTACCAGGGACAGGTGGAGGACATCCTGCAGGCAGGATCCTCTGAGTCTTTTGGAAACAGGATTTTTATGTTAAAAAAAGTTATTTAACGCTTGGGCAGAGCCAGATCTATTCACACAGTTGAAACCAACAGGAGCTTTGTGACTCAGTGACGCAAGCGTTTGCCCCCGAGTGTTCTGAAGACAAAAATGCACTGATGTAAGGAATTAAGCTCTGTTATTAGCCATCCCATTGTTTTAATAGCTCCGTCATTAAATAAAGTTGATAATACTCAAGCAGCACTTTTCATCTCCAAAGCATGTTAATCCATCCGTTACACCTCTTAACGTTCCTGTGAAGCAGGTATGCTGTTAGTGACACCAACACATAGAGGCTTTTATAGCACCAAGAATTGATGATGGAATTGCTCCAGATACTTTTCCCAGGAGATAATGGCTGTATAATCTGGTTATTTTTACACTGTGCCCAGCACATGCAGGAATCTTGTCCTTTTCACCTATTGGCAGTTCATGATGGCACCAATTAAATGTCTTGCATCACACAACATACTGCAGATTGTTTAACATAAATTTTCAAAGAAGCAAGCTAGTTCTCCTGCAATGAAACTCAATGGGATTTCCCCCCCACACACACTAGCTTCAAAGAGCATAGTTGAGCCCTTAAAGGGATTTACTTCTGTTAAATATTATCCTCAAAACTGAGAAATTAAAAGCAAATGGGCTTTCTTCTTTTTTCCTCTAAGACACGTCAAAAGAGTATTATGAAAAAGAATAGCTTTCCACAGCTTTTAGAAACTCCCCAAGTGAATTTCAATTGCAGGTTTTTAGGAAAGAGTGTAATTAACAACTTTATTCAGTCTGAAGCCAGAAAATTCTTTATATATTTGGCATGAAAAAAAGCAGAGCAGGAGGACGGGAGTAAATGACCTAGATTTTCACAAGTGACAAATGACTCCTAGGTGCTCTGTCTGAGACCCCTAAAATGGCAGAGATTCCCACACAGTGCACTGCAAAATGACTTCTCTTTATTGTGTTCCGTGATGGATGTTCAAAATCACCCAAGACACTCGTGGAAATCTAGGCTGCTGTGTTTGTTAAAGTGATTATTTTATTCACCTAGGGTAACTTTTCCAACAATGCACCCTTTGCCAAGCAATTAAATCCCATTTTCAGAAGTGACCTTGGTATGCCAGAAGCTCTCCTAATTCACAATGATCTCCCCTTGTTTGAGCTTACTCCATTGTTTTCCTGGAAATGTGTGCTTTGAGAGCATCTCCCATAAAGAAGAAATGGGGAAAACAAGGTGTGACCAAGCTAACATTTTCAGAATGTCCCTTGCTATTTTTGCCATTTTTTCTTCTTTTCAGTGTTGTTTTTTCCACAATAAAGTCAACATTTTCTATAAAAAGCAAGTCCTCTATGAAAAGCCTGTTTGCCTAATAGCAGTTTTTCTGTATTAATGTTGATAATCTCTGTTTTGTCAAAGGTAAAAAGATTTAATGCCTTTATCTTTTGGAATTGTTATTTATAGAAGAGGAGGTCTCCCTAAAATGTAATCAAAGATACATATTTTAAGTATAGTAGGCAAGTCAGTACTGCAGGCAGTTGTTTATTCATTAACCTCAGCGTAGCTAGGCTGGCAGCCTCCCAGTACTTATTTACTTTGTGCTTACCACGGGGAGGAATTTGAAATCCATTGCTATTTTATTCTGAGTCCCAGGAGAGATGATTCTGTCCTTCCACTTACGTCTCATTTTGTATGACTAAAATGCTCAGATTTCAGAGAGTAGTGTAGCGGTGAGCATGGCAGTAACAGGAGCCTGAAAATTCAGTCTGATGTATGGACAATTGTGATTCATTCCCAAAACTTTATTTTCTGTCAACAAGCACCATCACAGGTGAGAGAGAAATACGAGAACTGGGTTTTTGCTCCTCTTAGCAGGGAGTGTCATCAACATCCTTAAACAAATAGCCATGCATGCCAGCCTGCAGATAAACTCGAAGA